TTGCCTATTTTTTATTTTCACTCTGTTGTGTATCTCGAGACATGATAAGAAGAGAATAAAGTTATCACGCTTTCTTTACCAGTTGAATAAACTGAATAAGCCTGGCCGGCAACTGTATTGATTAAAAGTTAAAAATGACTGTCTTTTTCTTTCACATGGACGTATAAATTTTCGACAAGAATAAAAATTCATACCTAAAGATTTTTGCTGTTGAGTTCTTGAACATGCAAAGCACATCCTACAGTAATTGACACATAGTAATTCTATAATTCTAATATTACTGTTACCTTAGATTTCGTGTGTAATATCAGGCTTCAGCAACACAACGCCTTTTCATTTTTTTCTCTCCTCTTCATTAAGGTGACTACACCATCAGCCATGAGTTTCCATCTCCTCTTAATACCATTTCCTCCACACCACACAGGGATGACCAACTCGTCGTCTCCTATTCTTATGACAATTCAGGGACTGATGTGTCGTATCACACAACTATCTCTCCAGTAAATGTCCAATCCATATCCATTTCCTTATGCATATTTTTCCAGTTATAGCTGCCTGGTTGTTTCATTCACAGACTTCCTTCTCACTTATCCTTTCCGACTGGCCATCTGATGTTCAGTGTGAAGGCAGAGAAGTCAACTTCTGATGAAATTGTGTATCCACCTTTCACGAATGCTGTTCGTGATGTGTCAAGTCTGTGAAGTATTTCGAAGCACTGACTCGAGAATAGATTTGGAAGTTGGAATCTTGTTATAATGTTGTTTTTGATAGACTTCCGCAATGACGTCAGATTGATGAATGTTTGTCTTGATTTTTGTGAACATCGCAGCCGTTTGCACCCGCATCTGTGTTTCTTGTTTCTGGTTGAAACGATATCGCCGATTGAAGCATTTGAGAGAAACAGTTTCCTTTATATTTCTGCTGATGATGGTGATATGTCACATGTTGTTGGTTAGCTATCTTCATTACCTGTCTTCTTCATGTTCACTTGAATCATTGTTTTGGATTCCTTTTCTGACAACTAAATGGTTTCAGCCTAAAGATACAGCTTGTATGGCGTTAGACAGATCCTCTGCAAAATCCACATCTTCTAGAGTCTTCTGTCGCTGCAACGTATGCCCATCTTGTTGTAAATTTATTTTCATAGATTTGGTGACATTATGAGAATGAATGAAATGTCTAAGACAGGATGAATTACCTATTAAAGTATCTCTCTTATTTTCGTAAGCAAACTTGAAATCACAGTTCGTAATTCGCTTTCAAAACTATGCATCACTTAGGGTCAACTGTTAACTGAAACCTTTTTGTCACTCTTAGTGGTGTTTTCAATTGTGCCATCAATACAAAATCCATAATAATGACGGAATTATGACATTTCAAGGTGCAAATTTTGTAGTATAATAATCATAAGACTTGAATACAGAAATAATGACAAATAGAATCAGCTAAGAGGAATCATGAGATATCAAACGTGAGCGGTTCAATTTTGCGTTGCTGGTTAGAGGACATTTGTTGACAGAATGAACATGATAGAATATATGTGTAAAACTTGGGCACTGTGGTAGTAAGTAATTCCATATTAGTTTGTTTATTAGATATATCACACAGTGAAACAGTATTATTAATTACTGGATGACAAAGTTTTGAACACAATTTATTGTTCATAATCATATCAATTGTAATCACACAACTTTGAAACTTGAGTTTTATAGTTTTCTTTGTTCTCTCCTATTTGTCGTTGTTGGGGTCGTAGAATTTTCCAGATATAGGGGACAGGTGATGAATCATTCCTATTACATGTATTTGCAGTTGATTTGATAAACAAAGCTGGTGTTTTCAATCTCTCCCTATACCCTGTGACATTAGATTTTGAAACTGTCATCCTATCCCCTCCTATTGTATGGTTGTGTGTATCTGCATGTAGTGCTATAGCTGAACTATTCTCTAGATTTCTTATCTTATTCGGGTCAACCAATCTAGATTTTGCTAGGTTTTAATGTTCAGCTGGTCTGACTACCCCTGTTCTACTAGTTTTACCTATGTATTTGACCTGACAATCATTGCAGGGTACTAGATAAACTAAATTGTTTGTTTTAAAGGCTCCACAGGATCCTTTAACCGACAAAGCTTGTTTCTAATTGAGTTTGTGGGTTTGAATGCCATTTTTATTCCTGCCTTGTTAAGAATTCTGCGTAAGGCTTCCGAGGTTCCTTCCTTGTATGAAATTACTACTGATGATTTCGATTCCTTATTGTTGGTGTCGTCATTAATATTATTATTATTATCACTATTATCATTATTATTGTTTTTATCACTATCGCTACTATCACTATTTATTTTATTTTTACATTTCCTTACATATCTCCCGAATAATTTATCCGGGTAATTATTAAGTTTCAAGGCTTCTTTTATGTGTATCAGTTCCTGTTTTAGATTTTCTCTTGTACTACTTAGTTTTTGTGCTCTGTCATTTAAACATTTCACCAATCCTATTTTTACTGACATAGGATGGGATGATCAGATGTCTAAATATCTGTTTGAGTGTGTGGATTTCCTGTGAACACTAGTGTTTAACTCCCCATCTTCTTTCCTTTTTAAGTTGCAATCTAACATTGGGTGCTCCCCTTCCTGATTTTCCAATTCATAAGTGAATTGAATTGCTTCAACCTTCGAGTTGATGTGTTCGAAAAATTTATCTATATCTTGTGTTCTCAGTACAGTGAATGTGTCATCTACATGATGGAAATTAATCCTAATATATAGGCAATTTTTTGACTTACAGATCGCTAAATTAACACAATGACTTAATAAAGGGAGAATGTGAAGTGAAGGTTTTACTACAGTTATCACAATAGCCTTATTGGTTTTTTCAAGTTCATCAAGAAAAAGAAGCATGAGGTATAAAATTCTTTGTACCTGTGACTTCCTGGTACTGATTTTAATTATCCTTGTTTAATAAAATGTAAACTCCCTGGGGAGATGCTAGTATATTAACTTTAACTGAACCTACCATTCTGATTATGCTGTATGCGAAATATTAGAGACTGGATTCCAGTTTCAATGAAGACACCATCTCTTACACTAATACTGGTACACACAGGAAACTAGTGAGATCTGAGAAGAAACATACGTTATAGTCTGCATTCTCAAAGAGTTAATGTGGTAGTAAATCTAATACTCCTTAGGATTGGATAAGTGTACCCATTGCTTTTGAGTGAAGGAAACCAATCAGCATATTTTGTTGCCATCAGTCTTTCCATATAAAGTTCTAAAATTTTATAAGGAATGTATTTTAAATTTAAGTTTTCCTACTACAATCCATCAAAAAATTGGTCAATAAAATCTTTCACGCCTGATCGAAGATCTATATCAATTGGAGAAGCGTTAAGAGCGAGAGATTACTGGACAGTTGTTTCGTCTTAGTTTAGGACTTTTCAATAGTACTCATCCCATAAGCTCACCTGGTAACCTGTACGCACTGGGTTCAATCACTCTTCAAAGCCTATTAGTTAAATTGTGTTCTAAAACGTCATTTAAACGCTCAAAGTGGTCAGTTATTAATATCATTTGGTAACAAAAACATTTGGAATTACATATCATAAAACAGTTCAAGTTCTATTAACCACTAAGTGCTTTTCGCTAACATAAAGCTGCTCAATTAGGTGTCATAATTTATCGATTTTTTCCATGATGCATAATTCCATATTTTTGTCTACCGACTTATATTAACAGCTGACTCTTATCAGCTCTTCCATGACATTTTGGAACACTATTTAACCCTTCAACTTTGATTAGAAGTTACTAAAGGAATATTCCCTGTTGATCCCCGTCGTTTCAATATATCACTATTATTGGTTTTTCGGTAACATAGGATTAAGTTGTTCGATGGAGTCACAGGGCCGAGTTTTTGAGGGTAGATTAATTTCTCAAAGATTGCACGTACATCATTTCATTGCGTTCCAAGAGACAAAAAGCCTACTTGAAGAAGGATGTTTTAGTTTCCTGAATGCCTTTAACCCTATTTTCTTTATTGTTATTATTAATTTAATTATTTTAGGAGTCTTTCTGATTGACGTTGAACATCTTAAAACTGTTTCCTATTTTCGTGCAACTCCTTTGGTTGTCATTCAGTTTACACGTCTGTCATCATTGCAATTATTGTGGTAATTGTAATTATCATGATAAATGTTTCCATTATCCACTACTTTTAATTTGACGATATGACCTGAACACTTCGGAATATGCGATTCGTGCGTAAACATATATCTTTCTTGAGAAAGCCACTGAGAGTGGATGTCATTGCTTAATTTATCATTTTCATGTCCTTAGCAGTAAAGACTTATAATTTTGTCGGAGTTGGTAAGGTGTTTCATAGTTTCACTGGTATTGAAGAATAATATATTGCCTAGCTGTCAGCTGAAAATGTATTGACATTCTACAATGAGTAGAATACGCGATCAACTGCAGGTTTTTAAAACAAAATGCTGATATTAACAAGTGGAATAATACTAATCCCAATCAATGTCATTTTTATTTTATTTTATTAATTAATCACCGTTATAGTGGTTAATTACAAATAATTTCAAAATAATAACATTTTTAAGAAAACAGTAGTTGAAGAGGGTACACTTTCTGAACAGAGTTTGTGTGCACAAACTCAACCGTTATTATTCAGTCAGTTTGGGTGGTTGTTTTTTTCAAGACACGAATGTTTCTCAATGAGACCCTTCAGTTACTTTAAAATTTTCTCTTCTCTGTGAAGAGCATAATCATATGATTTAAGAACGTATTATTTTTAACTTTAAAAAAAATTATCTGATGTAATAATGTTTGCAAACATTTTATGGAGTACTACTGAGTAAACTAATTGGGTCAGTGGTGTTTTACAAAATTCAGACCAATCAGAGTTGAGATGTGAAGAAAACCTTTTAAAAAAAACCAATCAAAGTTCACTTGCTCATAGTATTTAACTCAGAACAAACGGTATACAATTTCAGCCTTCTTTTCTGGTTGTTTCATCTAACTGGTAAGTGTAAACGTGATTTGATTTTGAAATTTATTCCATGTATTTTGTATGATTAAGGGCTTTGTATTCCAGACTAGACTAGACTGGACTAGACTAGACTAGACTAGACATTCTGGGTAACAAACGACTATCATCTGGCTCCTTAAACATGCAAATCTGAATAAGACCAGATGGCATTTTTTATTGACTGACTTTTGAGAATTCCCTGTCAGATTTTTGGATACATTGAGTGCTTCTTTACGGAAGGATTTATGATAGTCAATATATATATCTCAGACATCTGAATAAATTTCTCTGAGTTATTTTTACATTTTCATACACAGTGTAATCAGTGAAACGTAATTAGTGATAAAAAAGAAATTACCCTTGAAATAATCCAGGAGTCGATAGACTATTTTATCAGGTGTTATTTGGTTTACGGTGTCTGGTAATGAAACCTTGGACGACGGACATTTCGTCTCTTTTCTGGCAAATTTTATTTATCAAACTTCATTAACTTTACAGTGTTAAGCTCAAAAGTTTGTATCACTAAAGATTTCAGAGTATTCAGTAGGATTTGTTTACGAAAACACAAATACTAGGTGTTTGATAATCTTAAAATGGAAGTATAAGCTTAACATACTTTTGCAACTCGAATACTAACGGTCTTCCAATGATTTCTGTTAATAATCGTAATAAAATTCAAGATGTCTAAATCATCACATCCAAAAGGTTATCAAGACCCGGCCAATTTACTGGCTGGTGGTAAGTCGAGGAAAGAGGGAAGGTCAAGTGTGAGGTTGACGACTCCTCTGCATAAAAATAACACTAGACCAACTACGACTTCAAAGCTTGAAGCCCAATGCTTCACTCAAGACGCATGGGTTGAAAAGAATTTAATAATGATCTTGAAATAAATAATGGTAGTGCCTGATTTCGTTAGGAATATCTGAAGCCCTATGTAGGATTCTTAATAAGGCAGGAATTATTGTCACATTTTAAACTATCGATTCACTCAGAGACAAACTCTACTGACTATAGGATTCCATTAACCCAGCCAGAAAAAATAATATGAGTTAGCACGTATCATATAATGACTTTCAGTTGATACACATAGATTACATCAGCAGATTGTGGTCGGTTAGATTATCAGAACATAGAAAATTATCTCGATATACAATGGCACAATCAGATGTCTCAATAGATCTGGTAAAAGCTCAGTCATTGTTTTGCACCCACTTGCATCCAGCCACATGGTAGGTATTGAAACAGAATATAGTTAGGCGAAGAGAGAGGCTAATCACTGGATCTCTGCTCATCGAATCAACACCCAATACATGTAACAGAAATGGTGTAATACTATTCCACAGTTATGGGAAATTAAAATAAAATCACGAGGATTTAAAACTATATAATCCAAATGAGGAAGTCCTGTGATTGTATTCATAGGACTTTGACTAATAAACCATGCTCGAAACGTCGTCCAGTTATTCATACTGTGTCACCTTGTGTTATCTCAAATAAACTTCTCCAATGTGCAAAGACATTATACCACAGTTTCCAAATTTCACTCCTGCATGAGTTAACCGTTACCTGAAATAATTAATCCTTGTATAAAATTGCTTGACAAGAAGAAGAGAAGCTTTAAAGTCACAAAGTAAGATTCTTCCTGAAAGATAACAAGTGACAGATCTGCAGAACGCCTTTTTCTCCAGTTATTTACGTACATATTTTTAAACTTATTAGTATACGGATGTTTCAAATTTCCGCTGTTCATCTCCGCTTGTTGAACGGATTAGTTTCCTTTAAAGTATCAACACTCAGGAGTTATGGTTCTGTTATACCTTTGGTGTTAACTTACTGATGATATTTCTAGGTGTTTCCAACTGACAAGTGTCAAACAGGACATAATGTACTTCTTATGTTTCACTGCTAGCCACGCTTATCCATCAGATAATTAGAGCTAGTTGATGCAGTTTAACAGGTTATACCCTTAATAGTTCTATGTATCCTTTGTTTTAGAAATGGGATATCATTCAAGTGTATTTTAATGAACTCCGCCATTATCTCACCTTTAGTTCTATGAAGATGACATTCTTAAATGAAATACGTTTCAGATTTATTAGTTTATATGGAATTTTAGCGATATTGTAATTGAAACAACAGAGACATTCCACTAAACAGTCAAAACCTGAAAGTGTCTGTCTTATTCTGTGAAGAATTCCCCATTTGAGCAGACGTTAGTACGAAGAATTACGACATGGAATTTGATGAAGTTTATTTATGTAATTGACTGACTTATTCTCAGTCTCACACTTCATGTAGTTTGTATTGTGAGGTTTCTTTCAGCAAGTAATAGTGTCATAGAATCTCTGACACTTAAGGCTAGAAGTAAACGTTGGAAATAATTCCTAAGCCCTTTATGTTAGATTCCAGTATTTAATTAATACATTCACATTCAATACCCAGGTATTAGTGCTTACAAAGTAGACAGCTGTCCTGATGTAGTTAGAGTATTTCTAGCCCCATTGATTACGAGTCAGTAGGTTATGTGTTTACATCACAGTTGATTTTAGTCACTAACTTGTAAGTAATACAAGTATAACAGTTATTTGCTTTCTTTAGTGGTTCAGTGGTAAAATGAGTGCCAGCCACGCACATCAACCGGGATTCGATTACCAGCTGACACAGTACTAAACCTCTCCTAGTTTACTAGTAAATAGAAAGCCTGGTAAAGACCAAAGGTTAGGTGAGAGTCTAGCAATCTGATCCTGTAAAATATGAACATTATATCACAGCTGGTGAAACCTAAAAGTTCATGCTTAAAATCCACTGATGAACTCGAAATGCAAAGGAATAAAAAGAATCATTTCAAAAGTTGTTATTTTCCTATTACTGATATGAAAATATTCACTTTCACAAATTGCATAATAACGAAGTTACATATACCCTTTTTTCTATTATTTCGTTTAGACGCTGAAAATAGTTTTGGGTTAACAATGCTTACGAATCTCGAGGCATTGCGTCTGTTATTCTTAATAACATATGCAAATAGTGTGGCAGTACCTGTAACTGATTCAGGTGAGATAATTTTATAGTTGACAAATATTATGAATTATGATTTCATTTGAATCATACAATAACGTGTTTATAACGAGGATAGAATCAAAAATTTTGTGGCCCATTAACAAATAAAAGAACGAATTGATGAATTTTTTCACTCTTACTTCTCAATGTGACAAATCATAAATTGTAGATTAGTTTACCTAATATTTCATACTCATACACAATTACTGACGATATGCAAAGCATTACCAAGTTTACAGAAATATACTATGAACCTCTTTACAGGAGTAATTCAGATTTCGGTGGGGATGATTTCCAACTGTCTATCACAAAGAAAAATCTACACAATCATTTTCAGTCATTATTGGTGATGATAGAAATAGTGTTTTATCGCCATCAACTTACCACAACGTTTTAAGTAGCCTAGACTCTTGAACACATGCTCGTCAACTAGTATAACTCTCTGTAGTTGGTTGATGGCATGTATTATACTGATGTTTGTCTGCAACACACTGTTCACAAGCTCATCATCACGGCCTTTGAGAGGTTCGTGTTCACCAGGGCTTTTGCAATCTTCTCAGAAAGACTAACATTTGAGATGTGATAAGGAAATCTCACGACAATTTATTAATAAGAGTAATAACGACTTTATTCCAGACAATATGTTAACACATGGTGTAGAATTCTCAGAGTATTTAAATTGCAAAAATATCTACTCTCCGTAAGTAACTGAATAAAAGATCCAAGTTTCAGAGTATTAGTGTATTCATTGGTGTAAGCGACAATATGAGCGCCACAAAGAAATAAACCAGCCAATGGGAGACGCAAGATGTTATTCCTAGGGTGACAAATGGCAACAATAAGGCTAAAATAATAACGATGACGTGGTGTAAATACAAAATAGTATTGGAGAGTGATTATCAGGTAATGAAGAATGTAATAAAGTGAAATGTGAAAGGGATTGTGTAGATATAATGGCAAATTTGAGAAGTATTACATCGACCTAAGGTGATAATTAGAAAGGTCATGAAATTGTAAAAGGTCTGGAATAAAACTTTGCCATTGAAACAAATGGAAAAAAATAGCGAAAAGTTGGATAGGGAACCAAAGTGTTTTTATTATTAATTCTTATACAGGATTAGTTTGCCTCATTGTAGACCAAGGCAAACAAAGCGACTGGACATATTTCTTTTCGATACTAAGACCGGATCAACTCATGTCGATTCCTACCTCTTCGGCCACTGATGGAAAATGCAGTCGACCTCCTATAGACCGGTTACTGGGGACACACTAGATCACTGAGAGTGCCTACTCTGGTTTAACAGGATACCAGCTATCCACCAAGTGAGAAAGGACTATACCACTCACCAGTTCGATGACCACATCACCCAGCCGTATGGCCACATGTTCACGTGATCATTTCCAATTTTCTGCACCTCGGAATATATATTGTTGTTGTTGATTTATGAGTTATACGGGATACAGATGTATCGGAAGCACAATAAATCTTGAGAAATCTGTCAAGTCTCGACTTATGCATGTTGGTCTAAATGTAGTCTGACATGTAGTATAGAGAGCAGGTGACGTTGCTACAGAGCTGAAACGTGTGGCGCAGAATTCAGATAGAACAGAAATGTATTCGAAAATAGGCCATGTACACAAAAGTAATCGTGATTCCCTTGGTTACGAAAATGCACGGGGTTGACAAATACTCAGAGTTTACCTATCCTGATAAATTCTACTTATGATGTTATCTGTTGTGACAATGGAAATTTTGCGATTCAGCTAATAAGTGAGAAGATTTGTTTTCGTCAACACTCAGAACTAAACTTTTTGGTTTCCGTTACAAAAATGGTACGCATGCATAGATAATTGTTTCGACAGCACACTGCCTTCTCACTCTCTCCTCTCCTCTTCATTAAGGTGACTACACAAGCCACCATGAGTTTTCATCTCCTCTTAATACCATTTCCTCCACACCACACACGGTTGGCCAACTCGTCGTCTGCTATTCTTATGACATTTGACGGACTAGTGTGTCGGATCATCCAACTATCTCTCCAGTAAATCTCCAATCCATATCCATTTCCTTATGCACATTTCTACAAATATAGCTGCCTGGTTGGTTCATTCACAGACTTCCTTCTCACTAATCCATTCTGGTTGGTCATCTGATGTTCAGTGTGAAGGCAGAGTAATCAACTTCTGATGAAATTGTGTATCCACCTTTCTCGAGTGCTGTTCGTGATGTGCCAAGTCTGTGAAGTGTTTCGAGACACTGACTCGACAATAGATTTAGAAATCGGAATCTTGTTATAATGTTGTGTTCAATAGATTTCCGCACTGACGTCAGATTGATGAATGTCGGTCATTCTTTTTGTGATGATCGCAGCCGTTTACACCCGCATCTGTGCTTCTTGTTTCTGGTTGAAACGATATCGCCGATTGAAGCATTTGAGAGAAACAGTTTCCTCTGTATTTCCGCTGATGATGGTGATATGTTGCATGTTGTTGGTTAGCTATCTTCATTACCTGTCTCCTCTGTGTCAATTAACATTTTACTTATAAATCCGTCAATAATTGTATAGCTAGTGAGACACGTTACGAAATGTCATCTCTTCACTGATTGATGTCTTATCAGTTCACATTTCGTAGAAATTATCTATACGTTGTATATTCGTCTTACTGACAAGTGTAAGTAAGCATTAGAACTATATGAAGTCATGCTTCTAGTCTATACGTTGATTTGTATTTCCTGCTGATTGATTATTTTGAATGGAGGAGGCAGGTGCATTCACATGACAAGTAACAAACAGAACGCGATGCATCTCCTGGATTCCACTGCTTGTCAGCACCTAGTTTATTGTATCTCTTGGTTTATTGTTTTCTGGTTTATAAAAACGACTATGAACAATTGAATATGCTTAACAAGGTTTGTCTTTCTTATTAATTTAGGTGATCAGACTACCGGCTATCACACTGCGACCAGTTTATCGACACCACCTCCGAGCGTATCTACTCATGGACGACATGACTACTATACAACTGCGGCTCCATGGTTTACACACAGCTCTGAAGAACCAACAAAATATTCTGACAAACAAGCACATACTTCTCACGATGTGTACACAGAAACGACACCATCACCATTCGATGTTTACAGCGACACAGGAAATACACCTCGTCACCATGCTAGCTCATCTGATTCCTATACAGATGAATCAGACTATTATTCAGACAGTATAACTACTGGGAACCATTATCATTATGGTTCTAATGAGGATAGGACGACAAGCGAAATCCCCAGTTCACCAACACAACCTCCAAGTTCACCTTCTCATGGACGACATGACGCTTACACAACTGGAGCTCCATGGTTTACACACAGCTCTAAAGCACCAGAAGAACATTCTGATGAACAAGCACATACTTCTCACGATGTTTACACAGAAACGACACCATCACCATTTGATGTTTACAGTGAAACAGGAAATACACCTCATCACCATTCTAGCTCATCTGATTCCTATACAGATGAATCAGACTATTATTCAGACAGTATAACTACTGGGAACCATTATCATTATGGTTCTAATGAGGATAGGACGACAAGCGAAATCCCCAGTTCACCAACACCACCTCCAAGTGCACCTTCTCATGGACGACATGACGCTTACACAACTGGAGCTCCATGGTTTACACACAGCTCTGAAGCACCAGCAGAACATTCTGATGAACAAGCACATACTTCTCACGATGTGTACACAGAAACGACACCATCACCATTCGATGTTTACAGTGAAACAGGAAATACACCTCGTCACCATTCTAGCTCATCTGATTCCTATACAGATGAATCAGACTATTATTCAGACAGTATAACTACTGGGAACCATTATCATTATGGTTCTAATGAGGATAGGACGACAAGCGAAATCCCCAGTTCACCAACACAACCTCCAAGTGCACCTTCTCATGGACGACATGACGCTTACACAACTGGAGCTCCATGGTTTACACACAGCTCTGAAGCACCAGAAGAACATTCTGATGAACAAGCACATACTTCTCACGACGTGTACACAGAAACGACACCATCACCATTTGATGTTTACAGTGAAACAGGAAATACACCTCATCACCATTCTAGCTCATCTGATTCCTATACAGATGAATCAGAATATTATTCAGACGGTATAACTACTGGGAACCATTATCATTATGGTTCTAATGAGGATAAGACGACAAGCGAAATCCCCAGTTCACCAACACCACCTCCAAGTGCACCTTCTCATGGACGACATGACGCTTACACAACTGGAGCTCCATGGTTTACACACAGCTCTGAAGCACCAGCAGAACATTCTGATGAACAAGCACATACTTCTCACGATGTGTACACAGAAACGACACCATCACCATTCGATGTTTACAGTGACACAGGATATTCCACTTATGGTCATTCTAGCTCATCTGGTCACTTTACAGATGCAGAGAAGCCAGTCAGTACGACTCCTGGTCCAAATGAAGATGCAGAAGACTACAGAGATGGCGAAGAAGCGTTTCCAATACAACAGAGTACTGGTAACCCACCTCTGTATGACCTAGGTTTAACTGATAACAAAGAGGAGCAGGAAAAAGGAAGTGATGCAGAATCTGACAGTGATAGTAGTGACGATGAAGATGAAGAAGACGATGATGATGATGATGATGATAATTAATCCCAAGAAGATAAGAATGATGATTTATAATTGCTATTTAAAACTGAATATCTAAAATTCATGTAACAGACTAAAAACAGTTCTCATTATTCTAACTTCATTTCATTCTATAAAAAAATATACGTTCTACTTAAATTTATTTCGAAAAACAAGTAACATTTGCTCATTATTCACTTTCTGTTGTCATTAAATCATTTATTTTTTTAAATATTTCTACTTAGTATCCCATCACATATGAAACAGTTAATTAATATGTAAGGCGGGGAAGATAATTAATCTATACAGTTTTTTTTACCCAGTTAATGCAAGAATCGATTGAAAAAAAAGTTTTGTGAATTGTGAGAAAGCATTCGTTTATCGCGAAATGTATTCTAAAGATTTTAGAAATGTTTTCTTAATAACGAAAATTGAGAAGATTCAGGAAGCTTAAACTATTTTTTATGGAAGGTAGTATTTGGAGATTACAACAAGCCGTTAGAATACTCTCGCACACCATTCTGCAGTGTGTAATTTCACAGCATATTTATCGAAACCTGTTAGTCATCTGTTAGTGAGAGGTAGGCTGTGCGCTTACTAGAGTTTTTTTCAGTAAGACATATCAAATCGAATGACGCGACCGTGGTGATAGTTAGCCGTATCGCTGAGGAAGACAGCCAGAGACGTTATTCTGCGGTTCTTCCAGCCAATTTGGTAAGAGGGATCTGCGATTTGAATGCTCAATGGATCATCAAATAAGCCTGTTGAATAGGAACTTCAGTTTCTTAAAGTATCAGAAACTCTGCATAATTTGCATTAGTGAAGATGAACGCTATCATATACATGTGGTTCAACATATGGTAAGCAAAAGGACTGAGCGAAGAAATGTTTACTTTTCAATTAGATCGTCATCTCTGGCTCTACTCTAATATACATATATGGCATTTTTATTACAATACCTAACAATTTTCCAATCAACTGGCGATATGTTTGTTAACTATAATTAGTCCGTATCAAAATTTCAAGGGGGTGATAATTAGCGGGGAAAATTAATGCACACAATTAAAAGGTAGAAATGGTTACAACAAATGGATTGCATAATGCGTAATTTTTGAAAAAATTAAGAGTAATTAAGGAATAAGCAAGTGCTAAAGTTGATTATGTAACAGATTATCTTAGAAAAATAACACGATTTGGACAATATTAACTTGTAATTAACGATGAAGTAATCAGAAAAATAATAGAATTATTTAGACAATTATAATTTTTAAAGTTTAGGGGGAGCGGGGCGAAGCAGTCCGGTTTATACATTCATGCAGCGATGGCCAAGATAAGGAGAGTGTCTGTACAAATTTCTTCTGAATATACAGGTTTGGCTTCTTTAGATGGATTCAAATGGCCTCAGTTGTATGTTGAAGACGAACTCGTAAAGCAAAATTAAGATTTGTAGAAATGCGATAAATAATTTTAAATGCTGTGTTAACATCAACTTTATGCTCACTGTCTACAAGGTGTGCTAAAAAAGAGCTACGAACAGATCTTGTCTGTCCCTTGCTCAACCATGCTGGATGATGTTCGGAAATATGATGATGAACACGCCTAAATGTACGCCCAATGTAGCTGGCTCCGCAGCAGGAGTCAAACTGGTAGATTCACATAGAGGAGGCAAATTAAGGTAGTTTGTCCTTATTTCTCGGAAGTAAAATAGTGGTGATAGTGAAGGAGCAACGTACCTCTGTTGCAATGTGAGTTCTTCTAACTGCATTCTTCAAGCACTGTGTTACTATTTCGCTAATGTTGTCACCGAGGAGTTGCAATTTTATGAACAGTGGTTTTTTGGAGCTGTCGCCATACTGACTCTCCTTGGTGCTAAATTCATATTTTTCACAACGAACTTATCCGCACAAACATTTTAACTAAGTAATTCTTTAACTAGATTATATGGGCTACCAAAAAAGCATAAAAATGGTTTGCCACTTTGACTTGTGCTGTACATGTGTAATTCCCCATATCACTCAACAGCAAAATAGTTGATGAAGCTCCTGTAATTTTTGTATAACAAGTTGGCAAAATGCAGCGTGAAAAGAAGGTGTATCTTTTCCTTCTGATTTTCGCTTTGACATCTTCATCCGTTCCACCCGTGGTCTAAACAGTGCATCCTAGATAAGTGAAGAAAGTTACCTCTTTTGGATTTCTCCCATTCATCGTCATTGTAGCTGGTTGTTGGTGTTGTTGGTTGGTTGGTTATCTTCATCACCTCCGTGAAGGAAGTTACCTCTTTCAAGTTTCTGCCGTTGATACTGGCTGGTTCTGTCTGATGTTGCTGTCGATTGGTTGGTTGGCCACCTTCATCAACTCTATCTTCACCTGGAGTCCTGTCTCCTCTTCTCTCTTCCACTGCCAGTTGTTGGTTTTGCATGTAGGTCTTCAAGTTTGTGTGATATTAAACACAAATTGTCTGCGAAATCCAGATCTCCTAGAGTCTTCTTATCGGTCAAGTGTATTCCTGTCTTCTCACTCACACATACGGTGTGCTGTCAGTGCCACTTGTGGGCCATGTCCAACCGGTCGCCTCCTATTCCGGTTTCAATTTGTTGTCTTGGTGTGTGTTGTCACATGAAGGCCATCTCAATGTTTGCCCAGTCCATCACTATTGCTCTCTTCAGATTTGTTGGAGAGAAGGTTCTTGGCTGGTTGACTGATAGAACTTCTTGGTGCTTGTCCTCTCCGTCTGACCATCTGATCCTTGGTATTGAGAAAGGAGGGGCAGGTGTCGGTTATTATTATTATTATTATTCATACTACTGGCTTTATTTCACTGCGTTTACCAATCCACATGTATGCGTGGCCAAACGTAACTAAGGAGAAACCATAGATCTTCAGCGGTCAGAGCTACCGAACATATTTCTAAGTGGCCACGAGTAAAAATGAAATTGCTTGATTCATTGAACTCTGGAAGAGGATGCCCAGTGTCATCTATCACGAAGAACATAGTGGAGACAGGTTGTAAAGTTAATTCCAGTGGTACCTATTAACCTATATATAGAACAGGTTTCGGCCTTACTCCTGAATCCCCTAGCATCTCAGACATAAAATCGCCAAAACATGTTTTGTGCTAAAAGTTACTTCCTAGTATTTCGAAGATGCCTTGTTGGTCCAATTTATGTTACGCAACAGTGTTTCCATCCTCTTCATTCCCACCTCATTTTCCTACCTCTCACCTGTGACCTCAACTCACAAACATTCCGAACTATATCGATTCAATCCCTATTCTCCTCTTTTATAAACACGTGTCAGAAGTACTCTTTTGTGTGATAGAAAAGTTCGGATTGTGTTGCGCAAATACATTGCACGCTACGGATAAATTACATCGTCCCATTATTTTGTCGAAATCCATTTCACCTACTCACAAGTAGGTAAGTAGGACAATTGCAGTTAAATGCAAGAGTGAGCAAGACTTTGCAAAGGAAAGTAAGAAGTTGTGTGCACATGGTGATGTGATTACGAACGATGAATCCTCTTGAAACTTCATCCAACACTCAGTAACTATGTGTTATATTCTACTTAGAAAATCGGCAAACTTTTCATTGCTAATTATCAAATGAAATATTCAGTGCACTTTTGAAATGATAAAGAATGTTGTAGTTGAATTTGGTGATTTTGACCTGGGTTTGTTATTTGCGATGAATTTTATAGCTGTAAACATTTCATTGTCCTTCTATACATAATTTTCTCCACGAAAAATCTATATCTCCTAGAGTCTTCTTATCGGTCAAGTGTATTCCTGTCTTCTCACTCACACATACGGTGTGCTGCATAATCCAGTCCACCTCAATTAGAAATATCGTAAACGATATATATTTGTGGTGAGAGATGGTTGCTAGCCAAATTGGTTGACAGTAATTGAGGTCAATATTTATGTATCAAATATTAGTCAGGTGAAAACGAGGTCAAAGATGGACAGCAGACAGTTAACACATAGATGAACTGACACAGCCACAAAGAGATGCAAGGTTAACTTTGTGTGCGAAACAACCAATCAAAAGACTGTATTTTCTACTAACATTAATCTACAATAACGTATATTAAAATCTATAAATATGTGTTGATTTTCCTTAATAAACGTTCTGTTGCCTGACTCTTGCCTTCTGTCGTTACAATTGGTGTCGCTGCCTCCGAACAATGAAGATCCCATGGCCAACTGCTTTTGAAGAAGGAGGCATACGGAGCTTCTTACGTGACTTCGAGGCCGTCGCTGAGTTGGTGGGTGTCAAAGAGCAGGCGGCGAAGGCAATTGTGTTGGGGACGCTGTTGATAGGCCGAGCGAAAGCGGCATATGGCACAGCATCTTGGAAGACATTGGTTGAACGATTGGTGTCTGAGTTCGACAGTCCAACAGAAAAACAGCTGGCAATGCAGCAGTTCCGTTCAAAGAAGCTCGGACCTGATGGAGATCCGTTAGTGTTGGCGGTGAAATTGACCAATCTACTTCGACGTGCGCTTCCCACTTTGGATGAAGATTCAGAGGCGCAGTTGCTGAGTTCCCATTTCATCGGGAGTGTCCCAGACCACATTTCTCAGCAACTACAACTGGTTAACGCTACGCAGCCGATGGATATTAATGAGCTGGTGAAGGTGACCAGACAGCTGCTGAGCACAACCGTAGCTGCCATAGAGCAACCAAAACCAAACGAATTCGAGCAGAAAATTGAAGCGTTGCAGCGGGAAGTGGCGGCGTTAAAGTTGGGTGACAGGAAAGACCGGTGTTTTGAATGCGGTAAGCCGGGACACTGGAGGAGATACTGCCCAGAAAGGCGAAAAAGAAAAAGTTTCAGACGGTATAATACGTGTTCTTTCTCTCGTATAAAACTAGATGTAGTGGGGGCTATCGAGAAAGGGGCTGTGTATTCGAAGTTGCGAGTGAATGATCAAGAAGTGGTATGTTTAGTAGATACGGGGGCGGCTGTGTCCCTCATAGATAAGAACTTATGTACGAGTGTTAGTCCATGTTCATTGACAGTACAAACGGTAGGTGGGCACGTATTGCGTATCACGGGTGGATCGAACTGTACGGTAGTGGTTGGCAGCTGCGAGATGACGTTCCCCTTCATTGTTGTGCCCGAATTACGACGGACGATACTTGGCGCGGATTTTCTGCGGGAGATTGGTGCGATAATCGACAAGCAAGCGAAGGTTGTGATCACGAAATACGGACGTTTCAGCATGTATGAGACCAGCGAGATAGCAGCGGTTAACCTGTCGAAGGTACACAATATGACAGAGTCAATTAATAAAAACGATCATATGTTTACTAGAGATGGGGACCCATACGGTTATTGCGATAAGGTGAATCATGAAATTCCGTTAAGTGGCCCGAAAGTAACGTC